CCCTACAGCCTCCCTCAGCAGCTCCCAGATGCTTGAGGAAGTTGAGAATCCCCATCCCCCTCTGTTTGCAAAAGCTGATTTCTGGGGTTGTGGCTTTTAACATGCACAAACGGGTCTAATTTAGTCATTTATTTAGTTGACATATTTATTTGGGATGTTCCTTTGCTTCAGTTGAAGATCCTGTGACCAGTGCCCCAGGCGTGCTCAGCAGTACGTGAATGAACAAGATCCATCAATTACTCTTGATCAGATCAAACTGGCCGGGGAAAACTCACATAACTCATCTCCCTGCACAGGCTCGGCTGGAGCCGCACAGCTTTGCCTTCCCCGTCTGAGGGGCACGTCATAGCTCCCCTGCAAACACTCTGGAGCTGGCACAGGGTGGGGGAAACAGCTTTCCAAATCCTGGGGTCCTGCTGTCCCTTCAGGTCCCCCACGTCCCTTACCGGTGCCGTTTGTTTCGTGACCCCTATTCCAGCAGCTCACAGTGGGCAGGGGGAGGTTAAATACGTGTTTTTGCGGCTCTGGCTGCTGCTGCTCAAACCTGTAGTGGAACAGTGTGCAGCACCTTGCACCTTCAGAGTTGTGACTGCTTTTTTTCTTCCCAGCACCTGCTTAGAAAACAGCCTCTGCTTTCTTAGCCCTAAAACTTAAGGCTAAGTTTAGTCCTGCAGCATCACTTCCCAAAAAATAAATTATTGCGTCGGTGCCTCCTTCCCTCCCTCATGTCTCGTGAGGTGTTTAACCATGAAGGCCAAATGGCAAAGCACCAGGGCATGGCAGGTGAATTGTCACTCCTCCTGCCTGCCCCGTAAGCTGCTGGCTGAGCGGGGCGCAGGGATTTTGTGATGAGTTCACTTAGCTAAGGACAACCCCGATGCTTCCGTCGTGTTTGTGTGTTAGCCATGGTGGAGAGGACCTGCATGCTGCACTTGCACACAGCTCCTGTCCAAAATGGTCAGGCTGAACGGTGTCGGCAGCCTGGATGTGGCTGGATATCTAAGTCCTCAGCCAAGCTGTGCTCTCGTGAGGGCTTTTTGCCGAAAGCTAGAATCCTCCTGATGCGCAGCATGTTAGAGCAGACTTGAGGCCTCTTCCATCTCAGAACGAAATGCACTTAAGAAAACAGAGTTTGTGTTGTCAGGACACTGATTGAATCAAACCTGCTCTCTCTTCTCTCTTACAGGTTACCAGGACAATGCCAGTACTTAGGGCTGCCGGTTGCTGATTACTTCAAACAGTGGATTAATCTGAAAAAGGTACTTTTGTGCAAACTGCCATCGTCCCCATCTCCCTCTCTCCCCCCTCTCCTTGTCCTTCTCCTTTCCTCTTTAAGGAGGTGTCTAATAACTACTGCTGTTTTGCATTGAAATGAGTTATTTTCTCAGAAGCTGGGCTGAGCGAGTCCTCCGGCTTCCTATTGTATCTCCTCTAATAGAGTCTTACTGTACTTGATGGGATGTGTTCTGCAGCTGGGGAGAATCCCATTGTGGCAAGCACGCTGCAGTGTCTCCGCATAATAGTGGGACACTCTGAGGCTCCTCTTCGGCGAAGGTTGTGTTGGCCCCAGTGTTTTGTTTTGCAGCCGCATAAGGCTCCTGGGAGCTCGGTCCTTTCAGGTCAAATTGTGATTGATAAATGTGGAAATATTCCCAAATAAAAATCAGTGTTGCCCTCTGTGCTGTGGGGAGGGGGAGCTCTCTCAGCAGCACGTCCACCTAAGAAACCCGTGGTCACTTTGCAAAGTAAAATACCTTGGACTTTACTGTCTAGTGCCTCGTGTTGCTCTGCGCCTTCTCTGGGTGGAAGAACAGCCCGATGTGCGGCTGGGAGGTCTCCTGGCGCAGCTGTTCTGTCTGCACCAAGAAATGTGGTGATAAGCCACAAATCAAAACGGGGAGAAAAGAACAAGTGTGATTACAAGCAGTAGCAGGGTGAGGGGGGAGGCTGGGGTCTGTGCACAAGAGAAACTGGGCTGGCCCTCCTGCTTAAACCTTTGGATAAGTAAGATTCTCTTCCCCTATCCAATTTAATGTTTTGTTTGGGTTTCTGCGCCTTTTCGTGGTAATTAGGGCTCTTGGTAAGTGGAATTTGCTTGTAAACAGCTCGTTGTACTTGTGGGCTTTTCTTTTGTTCTTTTATTTATTTATTGTTTTAAATGGAAGCATGAGTGACAGGCTGAGTGGCCGCAGAAGGACAATTTGCATGATCTGCTCCGTCAAATAGGTTAGAACATGAACTTAACAAGGGATGCTGGCAGCACATTCCCAGCTGAACTTGTCAAAGGGTCTTGTATTTCCCTGCTGTCAGAGCCAATCTTTTGGCTGATTGCTGGTCCTTGGTAAATGAAATCTGAAAGCACATTGGGGCATTCTGCAGTTCAGTGACCATTAATGATCATCATTTGAAGTTCACTAAACTTCCGGTGAATGGATAGCAGCAATATAACCAGCAGGTTGATGGCTGCAGAATAATAATATTTAAAAAAAAAAAACCAGAATCCCTGTGTGTACCATGATGTTCGCTAAGAAGTAGGTTGATCCAACCACGCTTCTCCTCTGGGCCTCGGGATGAATGGTTAATGTCTCTCTCCCATCGTTGGAGGCTCCTGGATTTAGCGTGTTAGGAGCTGGGATTCATCCTAACGTGGACATCCTGGCAAGTTCCTGTTCTTCAAGATGGGCGTTCATGTGTTCTGCTGCAGCAAATGCTGTGGTACTCAGCTGAGGGCTGGTGAGCACCTGTGAAGTACTGAGCTAAAGGCAGGAGGAGGGAAGCTGTTGCAGGGATGTGTTCCCCTGCCCAGCTCTCTGAAGGCTGTGCCTGTAGGATGGGGGCACATGCGCTGGGGTTGTTCCCCTCTGCAGATGTGTTACTCAGAAAGTAAGGCTCCAGTCTCCGTCACGTCATCGATGGGGAGGATGTGTGGGAGAAATCTTCATCTTCCTCCAACCCCTCTAGTTTCTTAAAAATCTGAAGTTTTTCTGACTCTCTAAGATCTGATGCCCTGTGACATGGGGTGGTTCCAGGGTCTCTGCACCCTTCTGGGAAGTGACTCAGATTGAAGAGGACAGCAGGGACCTCTCCCGACCTGTAGCTGAAGAGCTGCCTCCCCTGGGGCTTGCTCTTGCCTAGGGTTAGGATCTTTCCGTGCTACTCACTGCCCCGCTCTCTGGGGGTGCTTGTGGGGGAACTGCCTGTGTGTTTTCACAAGAGAGGATTCCCAGCCTGGATAAGTAATTCTGGCCAAGCAGTGAGACCCAATGGGACCTCACCCTCTTTTGAGTGAGCTCTCAGTGTAAGACAAATAGGTTTGGACAGACATCTAGCCTCCCTGCTCTTGGCTGCATAGCTCAGGTGGCTATGGAAGGCACGCTCCTGACTTAGAAATACCTCCTAGGCCAAGTCTGCCTCTGACCTGATCCATGAAATGAAGGTGTTGGGGAGGGGGTGGTGTGAAACTGCTAATTTCTAGGTCATGGATAATGCATAGGCTTGGGTGTTTCCAGATGTCAAGAAAACGGTTCATGTGAGTGTAAATGGCAAGTGTGTCTGAGAGCAGTTTTGTGCAGATGATCTTTCCCAGGGTTTATTCTCCAACAAACTCCTTCCCTTGTCACTTCTCTGCTGCAGGAGCAGTTGAGCGGAGCACCCTGTGCCTCCAGGGTTCTTTCAGAGCATCCAAGACTTGCCTCTCAGGCAAACTGAAGACTGGGATCATCCCCTGCTAGCTGCCACGCTTATGTGGCCCCAGGAAACCTTTTTTGGATTGCTCTGGTCGTGCAGGTGGTGCTGAGCTCCACACCTGACTGCTGCCATGGGGGCCACAGTGTCTTGGGGTCTGTGAAAAAGCCTTCTGTGGAGGACAAAAGGAGAAAGGATTCCTGTGCACTTGACCGCATCTGCTGAAGTTTTACCTTGCCCTGTGCCCCCCCAGCCTGCTAATGCATCCCTTCCGTCAAGCCTGATCGGTGTTTGCTGACATTTTTAATGTCACTGAGTGATCTTGTATGTCTGGTGAACTGTCAGCGTAGAGCTGACTCGGGGCAGAGAGTTTATCATGTTCTTCCCTCCGATTAGCTCAGCCTTATGGGAGGGCAGCAGAAAGCAGAGGAGGCTTTCCGTGAATGCCGCAGCGTTTCAGATATCCCCCTAAACCATCTCGATAGAGAGCCACCATCCCGGCTGCCAGTTCTCCTTATGTACCTGTCATGTCGATCCACGGAGGCCCCGTGGGTTAGGACTGAGGTGCAGAACCTGAGCTGCGGCGTTGGAGCTGGATGCTCAGGTTGTAAATGGCAGAGTGCCTCATGTCAGCAGGGAGGGCTGCGAGTGGGGAAGTACGTGCAGAAAGCAGGAGGCTGTGGGCTGGGATTTATGGGAAAAGGAAAGCTGCTGCAACTCACAGGCTACAACCAAGCTGCTGCCCCAGGAGTATCCTTAGGTAGCCTGGATAAATTCATTAGTTCTTATCCTAACACAAGGATTGGCACTTGTTCATCCTCCCTTTGCTCTTTCAGGAACCTCTGTGGTTTATCGTTCCGGGTCCTGCTTGAGTTAGCGGCATGGCCGGTCCCATGATGGATCCTCACCCTGTGAGGATGGCAAGCGCTGTGTTGGGCTGAGGGCACAGCCCCAGGGATCGCAGGGTGACCGAGAGTCTGGGAATGAGAACCACGGTGGGCAGCAGGAGTGCCAGCACCGCCGGCATGGGAGCATGTCACGAGGGAAGAGTAGTTTGATGGAGGGAGGAGGTGGAAGAAGGGGAGAAGCAAGTCTCTTAAATTAGCCTGTGCAAGAGCGCGTAAGGGTGACAAAGGTGTCAGAATGGTCAGACCAAGGGTCTAGCCCAGGCCTTCTCCATGCCTGAGGTCTGTAGCTGGTGCTTGCAGGCACATGGAGAGCATGATTGGGCTGTATCCGGAGAGGTGTGGCCAGCAGGGCGAGGGAGGGGATTCTGCCCCTGTACTCTGCTCTGGTGAGACCCCACCTGGAGTGCTGCGTCCAGCTGTGGAACCCCCAATATCAGAAGGATATTGACCACTTGGAGCGAGTCCAGAGGAGGCCACAAAGATGCTCAGAGGGCTGGAGCACCTCTACTATGGGGACAGGCTGAGAGAGTTAGGCTTTTTCAGTCTGAAAAAGAGGAGGCTCTGGGGGAAGCTTATAGCACCTTCCAGTACCTGAAGGGGCCGACAAGGAAGCTGAGGGGGGACTTTTTACAAGGGCCTGTAGTGACAGAACAAGGGGTAACAGGTTTAAATTGAAAGCGGGGAGGTTTACATCAGATATCAGGAAGAAGTTCTTCCCGGAGAGGGTGTTGAGGCAGTGAGACAGGTCGCCCAGAGAAGCTGTGGATGCCCCATCCCTAGAAGTCTTCAAGGCCAGGCTGGATGAGGCTTGGAGCAACCTGCTCTAGTGGAAGGGGTCCCTGCCCGTGGCAGGGGGGTTGGAACTGGATGGGCTTTAAGGTCCCTTCCAACCCAAACCATTCTGTGATTCTGTGATTGGAGTCAGCTTTCTCTGGTTCCCAGTAACTGTATCTTTGGGGACTGAGAGCTGGCAGCTGTCCCTGGGCTGCTGTGTCTGGCACCCACTGCGTTTGCAATGGCTGTCTACTGGGAACTTGTACATCGTCTTCTGAAACTGCTCATGCTCTCAGCTTCTACAGCATCCTGCAGCAATGACTTTTGCTATTTAATTGTGCATTAATTAGACTCTATATATCCGTATATTGTGTGAAGGTCCAGGCCCTTTTGTTTCTTTTAAACCCACTGTTTGATCATTTTCTTGGGCCTACGTCTTGCATTGTGTGGAGGAGCAAGTACGTGTTTCCAGTTCCCCTCTCATGTTACTCTTGACATGAGACCTCTCATTGCTCTTCCAGCACAGCGTAACTTGTCAGAGGGCTGGCACAAAGGCCCTCTGACTCTAGAACTGGGTGGTAGAAGCTATTTTTAACTCTGTATACACTATCCTGGTCTTCCATTTCTTCTCTGGACGTTACGCAGTTAAAAGGTAAGAGGTGTGGTTTTTATAACCACTAAGGGTTACATGTTTTTCAAATGATATTTATTTTTTAAAAAAGACAATCTTCACACCAGTGGCAGAGCTGCGCTTTGCTCAGGACAGCTGTCCTGGCGTGTTTGACCATCTTTGATTCCTGCTCACAGAGGGCAGCATGCCTTTCGATATACAGTAACAGTGGTTGCTTTAGAAGTGACAGAAAACTGGTCCTAGTTTGACATCCTCCTGACGT